AAATCCTTCCTCGACATCAACGTGGGGGGGTGCTGGATGCACTTCGCCGGGGCCTTGTGGAAGCACGTCCAGAGCCTCGGCCTGGCCGGCCGCTTCCGCGACGACCGCGACTTCCGCTTCCGCGCGCGGCCCTCGGCAGATCTACCCCGTGCGCCGCGGCGTCCGCGCCCCTCCGCCGCAACCGAATACCCGATCTGTAGCCCCTCCTTCACGCAGCTTTCGCTCTCCCTCTCTCTCTCTCTCTCTCTGTCGTTCTGTGTGTCTGTCCCTCTTCTTATATTCCCCTCTCCTCCTTTTCTCGCGTCTGTCATTGCTACAGTGCTCAGGTTAAGAAGCTGCAGTGCCTGGCGTTCCTGCCGCCAGACGCCGTGGCGGACCACTTCGAAACCCTGGCCCACGAGCCGCGGGCTCGGCGGCCTCCCTGCTGGCCACGCGCGGCGCCAACGACGCCATGCCTGCTGCCCCATCCGGCGACGTTTGTCCGCCTTCTTCCCCCTGCTGCTCCGATCATCGGCGTTTTTTTCTGCGTGGCCCCTCCCTCCCTCCCCTTTTCTTTTCGGAGTCGTCCGCGGCCCCCCTTGCGATCCCAACCTTGTGCTTCCTCGCGCCAAGGTTCCAAGACGCCGAGACCCCCTTCCTCAAGTACTTCGAGAAAACTTGGATCGGCGAGCGCAAGCGGAATGGCAAGAGGAAGCCCCCTCTCTTCCCCCACGAGTTGTGGAATGTCCACATGCGGTGTTTGGAGGAGAAGTTCCTTACGAACAATATGGCAGAATTATTCCACAGGCACCACGCGGACCGCTTCCACCACGGCCAGAAGCGCCCTTACTTCCCTAAATTCGTGGAGCGCCTCCGCCTCCAGCAACACGAGACACTTCGCGACCTCGCCGAGCTAGCGCAGGGAGGCCACAAGAGGGAGAGCCCCGACACGAAAAAACGCACGGCCTACCAGAAGGAGCTCGTCAGCCGGTACCTCCTGAGCGGTGACGCCACCACGGTCAACGGCTTGGCCACGCTCTACATGAAGCACGAGGCCGATTAGGAGTTAGCTGTGATGCTAGACATCCGGAGGAGGAGGAGGAGGAGGAGGAGGAGGAGGAGGAGGAGGAGGAGGAGGAGGAGGAGGGGCGGAGGAAGAGGAGGACGAGGACGAGGAGAAGGAAAAGGACCAGGAGGGCGAGGAAAACGACGGCTGCGGCGACGGCGGCGACGGCGCCGAAGACGAGGGCGACGACCATCGATGACGTCTTTAGGCCTCCCACGAGGCCCGCCGCGGCTCCCGGAGGCGCCGCTCGTGATTTTCCCTCGCACACCACCCCAATTCCCCCACTCCACCCAATCCTGAGGACTAGTGTACTCCTGAGCACGTCGCCGCATACTTCCCCACTCCGGCGCGATCCTCCACATTCCTCTCCGCTCCACCGAACTCTGCCCGAATTTGCCGCCTTCGGCGATCCTTCCCGCTCCTCCGGACTCCATGTCGCTGCATTCAGCTCCTCCCCGCTCCTCGGGACGCCTCTTCGCTCCATCGCACTTCTCCCGTACATGGACAATCTATCCGAAACCTGCGACACAAGATGTCCCCCGGACCCCCACACTAATATTGGGGAGATGTGGCAATGAAGGGGGGGCTTCGGTGGACAATCATATTCGAACCCCCAAAACAACACCCACTCCGACCCCAACTCCGACTCCGACTCTTGCGGCTCCGACTCCTCTTCCGACTCCGATTCCGACTCCACTTCCGACTCCGATGCCTCCGACTCCGACTTTTCCTCCGACTCCGACTCCGACTCCAACTCCGACGACTCCGACTCCGACTCCTCCTCCGACTCCGACTCCGACTCCGACTCCGACTCCGACTGCTCCGACTCCGACTCCTCCTCCGACTCCGACTCCATATCCGATTCCGACTCCTCCGACTCCGACTCCTCCTCCGACTCCGATTCCAATTCCGACTCCGACTCCTCCGACTCCGATTCCTCCTCCGACTCCGACTCCGACTCCAATTCCGACTCCTCCGACTCCGACTCCTCCTCCGACTCCGACTCCAACTCCGTCTCCTCCGACTCCGATTCCTCCTCCGACTCCGATTCCGACTCCAACTCCGACTCCGACTCCTCCGACTCCGACTCCGACTCCTCCGACTCCAACTCCGACTCCGATTTCGACTCCTCCTCCTCCGACTCCGACTCCGACTCCTCCGACTCCGACTCCGACTCCTCCTCCGTTTCCGACTCCGACTCCGACTCCGACTCCGACTCCTCCGACTCCGACTCCGACTCCTCATCCGACTCCGACTCCAACTCCGACTCCGACTCCTCCTCCGACTCCGACTCCAACTCCCGCTCCGACTCCTCCGACTCCGACTCCTCCTCCGACTCCGATTCCGACTCCTCCGACTCCGACTCCTCCTCCGACTCCATTTCCGACTCCGACTCCGACGACTCCGACTCCTCCTCCGACTCCGACTCCGACTCCGACTCCTCCGATTCCTCCTCCGACTCCGATTCCTATTCCAACTCCGACTCCTCCGACTCTGACTCCGCCTCCGAATCCGATTCCAACTCCGATTCCGATTCCTCCTCCGACTCCGACTCCAACTCCGACTCCGACTCCTCCGGCTCCGACTCCTCCTCCGACTCCAACTCCGACTCCGACTCCGACTCCAACTCCGACGACTCCGACTCCGACTCCGACTCCGTTTCCGACTCCGACTCCGACTCCGACTCCGACTCCTCCGACTCCGACTCCTCCGACTCCGACTCCGACTCCAACTCCGACTCCGACTCCTCCTCCGATTCCGACTCCAACTCCGACTCCTCCGACTCCTCCTCCTCCTCCGACTCCGACTCCAATTCCGACTCCGACTCCTCCGATTCCTCCTCCGACTCCGATTCCGACTCCGACTCCTCCGACTCCGATTCCTCGTCCGATTCCGATTCCTCCGACTCCTCCTCCTCCTCCTCCTCCTCCTCCTCCGACTCCGACTCCAACTCCGACTCCGTCTCCTCCGACTCCGACTCCTCCTCCGACTCCAACTCCGACTCCGACTCCGACTCCGACTCCGACTCCGACTCCTCCGACTCCGACTCCTCCTCCGACTCCAACTCCGACTCCGACTCCTCCGACTCCGACTCCTCCGACTCCGACTCCTCCTCCGACTCCGACTCCGACTCCAGCTCCGACTCCTCCGACTCCGACTCCGACTCCTTCCGACTCCGACTCAAAATCCGATTCTTTCTCCTCCTCCTCCTCCTCCTCCTCCTCCTCTCCTCATCCTCCTCCTCCTCCTCCTCCTCTTCCTCCTCCTCCTCCTCCCTCCTCCTCCTCTCCTCCTCTTTCCCTTCCTCTTCCTCCGCCTGCACGTCCTCGTCCTCCTCTTCCTCCTCCTCCTCCTCCTCCTCCTCACCTCCTCCTCCTCCTCCTCTCCCCTCTCCTCTCCCCTCCTCCTCCTCTCCTCCTCCTCCTCCCCCGTCCTCCTCATCCTCCTCATTTTCCTCATCCTCCCGCTTTCCTCCCTTCTCCCCCTCCCTTCCCCCTCCCTTCCCCTCCTCCTCCTCCTCCTCCTCCTCCTCCTCCTCCTTTTCCTCCTCCTCGTCATCCTCCTCTCACCTTCCTCCCCTCTCCTTTTCCCTCCTTCCACCTCCGATCCTCTGATGCTGCTGTTGCTCCTCCTCCTCGGGTTGCTCTTCTTATTTTTCTTCTTATTATCATTCGTATTATTCTTATTATTCTTCTCCTCCTCCTCCTCATCATCCTCATCCTCCGCCTCTTCCTCCTCCAGGGAGGGTTTGCGACGTTCCGTAGGTTTGTCGGCGGAGCTGGGTTTTACAGTCTATCGTTCTTCCTCGCGCTCCTCTGTGAGTGCTCGCGTTCGTGGTCATTCATGGCGCACTCATGCACACGTTAGCTGTACACCACATCTCTTCGCAGCCGTCCGACGGGAAAACTCCTACGACTCCAGCTGCTGCTGTTGCTGCTGCTGTTGCTGTTCCTCCTCCTCCTTCGGAGTCCACCTCATCCAGAGTCCTCCTCTCCCTCCTCCTGCTCCTTCTCAGGCTGACTCTCCTGCTGCTGCTCCTCCTCCTCCCGCTTCTTCTCCTCCTTCTCCCCCGACTGGCCCGTTGGCTCTACCACGACCCCCAGCGGCTCAGCCGAAGAGGATCCGCCGAACAGGACTTCTGCCGAAGCGGATCTGCCGAAGAGGCTCTGCCGAAGCGGCGTCTGCCGAAACGGCCCTGCCGAAACGGCTCTGCCGAGGCGGCTCTGCCGAAACGGCTCTGCCGAAGCGCTGTCTGCCGAAGCAGTCGTCTGCCGAAGCGGTTCTGCCGAAGCGGTCTGCCGAGACGGACTTGCCGAAACGGTTTGCCGAAACGGTTCTGCCGAAACGGACTTCCGCCGACGCGGACTTGTACCCACCACCACCACCACCACGACAATCACGCACACACTCACGCACGCACGCACGCGCACCACCACCCACTACGCACGCGCGCGCGGAGCCACAGGTCCGCTACGACACGCGTCCGCGGATAGAGAAAATCAGCGCCATGGTAAGGGGTGGGAGGGAGGGGTAGGGCGTCAGATATGACGCGAGCGCACCTAGCTCGCCCCCCTCCCCCTCTCCTTCTCCTTTCCTACCCGGCCCGATCCGAATCCATATGGTTCGATCTGGGATCGCCATCGACCAGTGGAGGATATCATGAGGGGGGGGATGGGGGGGGGGGGAAAGGGGCGGAGGAACAGGAGGTGGCGGAGGAGGAGGAGGTTGAGGAGGAGGAGGATGAGGAGGAGGAACACCAGATCAAGTCGGATCAGATCGAGCCAGAAAGATTTGGATCGGATCGATTCGGATCGAGTCGGAATGAGGAGACGAGGAGGAGGAGGAGGAGGAAGGGGGAGAATGAGGAGGAGGAGGAGGAGTAGGAAGAAGAGGGAGAGGGAGGAGGAGGAGGAGGGGGAGGAGGAAGAGGAGGAGGTGGTAGATATTTGCCCGCCTGATGGCTGTCCTCCAGCGTCTCCTCCTCGTGCGCCTGCTGCTGCCGTTGCTGCCGCCGCCTCTTGTTCTCGCCGTCTGCGAGCACCTTGCGCCGCCCGTCGGCTTTGTTCTCGGGCGACGGCTGCAGGCCAACAGCCTGCGAGCAGCGGGGGGGCGCGACGGCGGCGACATGGCGACGGCGACGACACGGCGATGCCACGAGCTGCTGTTCGTCTTCCTCGCACCCCTTGCCCCTTCCCTGGCATGCCTTGCCCCGATCCTTTGGCCACTCCTGTCATTATGTTACGTTCCTCTCCTGCCCTCTCCGCGAGCCCTGCCACCTTCCTGAATATCTCTTCTACTAGTTTACCTCGTGCCCGCGTCCTGCCGCGCACCGTCCCCCGCTCTTTCGCGCGCCCCCCTCCCGCCCCCTCTCGCATCCTGCTATTCGCCCTCCCTGACCTCCTCCAACACATGGAGGAGGGCAACGATGAAGGGCAACGAGATGGAGGAGGGCAAAAATTGGAAGGCAGCACGAGGCAGAGAAAAAGGTCGAAGAAACGGGCAAGGTGATGACAGGAAGACGAAGAGAAATTGAAGGGGGAGTCGGAGGAGAAGCAAGAGTAGGAAGGCTGGCGCAAGGGAGTGATCATAAGAGAAGGATGAGGAGGAAGAAGAGGGGGCGGGGAAGAGCTCGCCGAGGAGGAAACATTGAGAACAATAGCCCGACGGGGGAGGTTGCATCGAGGAATGATGGAGGAAGTGGCGAGCCATGGAGGACGGAGAATCCATCGGGCATCGAGGAAGGACCGATGAACCACAAGAGATGACATGGTTGACACTGCTATGTTCACAAATCGCTTGCGAACGCCGACGGAGGCGGTGGCAGCGGCAACGGCGCGCTCGCCTGCTCCGTCGCCACGGCTGCAGCCGCTGCAGCTGCAGCCGTCACATCTGCTGCACCTGTCGGCGTGGCATCGGAGAGCATCGCCTGGGCGGGCATCGCCGCGGCCTCCGCTGTGGCCTCCTGGGCGGCGGGCATCGCCGCGGGCTTCTTCGTCGCCGAGGTCGCCGGCTTCTTCATCGGCGTCGCCGTCTCCTCGTCGGCTGGCGGAAGCGTGATCTTCGCGCTCTTGGCGACGACCTCGCTGCCCTCGTCCTCGCCCGCGTCGCCCTTGCCGCGCTTGTCGGCCGCTGCTGGCTTCTTCGCCGCGAAGCTGGTCTTGCGCTTCCGCGAAGAAGGTTCGCCCTGCCGCTCGAGGAACGCATCTTTGTCCGCGCCCAGCTCATCCCTCGATATCTCGCCAGCAGCGCACTTCTTGCCCAGCCCGATCATGTACTTCTTCGCCTTCTCGATGCCCAAGGTTGGAGTGAGCGCGAGCTGGCGCCGCTGGTTCTTCAGAATGCCAAACTTCCCCCACAACATGATACTCTGCTTGCCCTTCCTGCGGCCGCGCTTCACGCAAGACTCTTCGTCGCCAACCTCTTTGGGCCAGTGCTTCTCAAGAACGTCTCTGTCGGTCTTGCCGATCGCCTCGAACATGCTCGCCGTCATTCCAGCGACCTCCCACTTGCCGGCGGCGTCTCCTGCTGAGCCCAGCCACTGCGCCACGACAGTGTTGTCCTAGATCTCGATCTTCGTCGCGAGCTGCTGAATGGCATCCTCGTCGTTGGCGTTCTTGCGCCGGGCCGTCTCACGATTGCCATATGCACTCACCCCTACTGGTGTTCCCCCTCGATCCTCCTCCTCGAACTGATAGTTCTCATCCTCGACCCCTCCTCCCCCCCACATTCTTCTGCGGCGCAGGGGGCGATGGGGGGGGGGGGGGGGGGGGGGGGCAGGCGGAGGAGGTCGAGGAGGGGGGGGGGTGGGGGGAGGAGGAGGAGGAGGGGGAGGAGGAGGAGTGGGAGGAAGAAGATCTGGATAAGGCGGGTGAACTCATACGAACTCATACGCGAACTCATACGCGAACTTATGCGCAATCGACTACAAAACACAACCAAACTCATACGAACTCATGCGCGAACTCACACACGAACTCACGCGCGGGTGAGGGTGTCTGGCAGACAAGTATGTTGGCCCGCGCCCCATCCGCACATGAAGAACGTGTTCGCCGAAGGCCTCTTCTTGATGTTCGTCTCCTTGGGCGTCGGCATCGGCGGCGGCTCGCCCTCGTCGGGGTCAACGCAACTGTCGCGCTCGAAATTGGCGTCGTCCTCCTCCTCGGCCTGCTCTCCGGCCTCGCCGCCGTCGTCGTCGTAGCCGTCCGCGGCGCCTCGCATGAACGTCTCCAGCCACGTGCCGCGCTTGTCCTTGCCGCTCTTCTTCTCCCTGGCCTTGTGCTTCAAGATGCTCTGGTCGACGTCGCGCGCGATGAGATTGGCAATGGTGCCGACGATGAAAATGGGGGCGGGGCGTGATTTGAGAGGAGAAGAGTTGCGGTCGGAAGGGGGAAGGGTCGTGATTAGGAGAGGCAGAGGCCGAACGTAAGAGATGACAGCGGCACCAGGAGCTGAGGCAGGGGCTGCGAGGCGACGATGACGAGGGCGGCGAGGAGGAGAAGGCATGGCGTCAAGGGAATGAGGAGGCACGACGGCGAGGGAGTGGAGGGGACGTCGAATGAGTGAGCGTGAGAATGTGTGAAGGGGAATGGGGATTGACGAGCAGGAGAGTGAATGGCGATGGAGGTGAGTAGAGGACTCGAAAATATAAATGTGGAGGGTGCAAGGGCATGGGGGGGAATTTGTAACATCGTCGTCTTGTCCTCCACCTCCCCCCCCTCCCCATCGTCCTCCTCCCCCCCGTCGTCGTCGTCGTCCTCCTCCTCCTTCTCCTTCTCCTGCTCCTCCTCGTCTTCCTTCTCATCCTTCCCATCGTTATCCTCATCTTCCTCCTGGTCCTCGTCTCCTCCTCGTTCGTATTCTCTTCGCCTTTCCTCGTTCGCGCCCCCATCCCATACTCCCGCCCCCAAGCCCCCGCGGCAGCCTCCACGCCCTCGGCGCGCGTCAGCGCGATGGCATCCAGCCACTCTGCGGCTGTCTCCATCGCGCGCGCGCCCCGCGCGCGTCGCCTCGCGCCCTGCGCGCGAGGGGGTTCGCGCAGCGCCGTCGAGCCACGTCGACGGGTGGAGGAACGGGGGGGGGGGGGGAGGTTGAGGGGGAGGAGGGGGGGGAAGTGGAGGAGGAGAAGGAGGGAAGAGAAGAGGGGCCAGAAAGGACATGTAAGACGAGGAGGGCCATGACTGGACCGAGAGCTTCCTCAAGGCACCGCGTTGGGTCCTCTAGCATTAGGCTTCCACACCTGTCAACCTTTTGAACGCCAGCGCTGTCGCCGTCGACGCGCGGGGGTTCGAGCCATCGGGAGCGCGATCAGATTTCGAGAAGCGAACCAGCAATGGCAACGGAAGGGTTGCATATCTCCAGGAATGCGTCGACGAGGCAAGACAGGCCCTCCTATATTCCTATATCGCATGTATGCTCGGCTCTTCATCCTTCCGCTTTCCCCTCACCCAACGCGCGCGATTGTACAATCTCTTCTCATCGTCCTATCCTTGACCTCGTCTCCTTTTCCTCCCTTGCCTTCCTACTCCTCCTCCTCCTCCTCCTGATCAATGTCATGGCTTCCTCCTTCTCCTCCTCCATCCCTCCGCCCCCCCATTACCTAACAGCTTTTGCTGAAAGGTTTCTAGTAAGGTCAAAAGAGAGCATCATGACTCCTCAGGGGGGTCTGGGCGGGCGCCGGGGAGGAGAACCAGGAATCGTTTTTCGCCAACAGTCACACACTTCGTGCTCTTCGACCTCCCAGAACTCCATTCCCGGGCCACATTCTGGAGAACCGGGAACAGAGCCGGGCTCGCTTTTCGCAAACAATCACACACTTCGTGCTCTTCGACCTCCCAAAACTCCACTCCCGGGCCACATTCTGGAACCGGGAACAGAGCCGGGCTCGTTTTTCGTCAACAGTCACAAACTTCGTGCTCTTCGACCTCCCAGAACTCCATTCCCGGGCTACATTTTGAGTGCCCGGAGCCAACTGTAAGCCACTTCGTGCTCTTCGAGTTCCCAGAACTCCATTCCCGGGTCACATTTTGGATGCCCGGAGCCAACTGTAAGCCACTTCGTGCTCTTCAAGTTCCCAGAACTCCATTCCTGGGCATGATTTTGAATGCCCGGAGCCAACTGTAGGCCACTTCGTGTTCTTCTAGTTCCCAGAACTCCATTCCTGGGCAACAGTTTGAATGCTGAGGCAGGCTGATGCTGCGGCCGAGGCAGGCTGAGGCTGAGGCAGGCTGAAGCTGAGGCCGAGGCCGAAGGCAGACTGAGGCTGAGGCTGAAGCAGACTGAGGCTGAGGCTGAGGCAGGCTGAGGCTGAAGCTGCAGCAGGCTGATGCTGAGGCAGGCTGAGGCTGAGGCTGAGGCTGATGCAGGCTGAGGCTGAGGCAGGCTGAGGCTGAGGCCAAGGCTGAAGGCAGACTGAGGCTGAGGCTGAAGCAGGCTGAGGCTGAGGCTGAGGCAGGCTGAGGCTGAGGCAGGCTGAGGCTGAGGCTGAGGCAGGCTGAGGCTGAGGCTGTGACTGCGACTGCCGTTGCCGCTGCGACTGTCATCGCGAATGCGACTACGACTGCGAGAACAGCAGAATTCTACAACTGCATTTTCATCTGAATCTTAAGGGGAATGCTTTCAGATATGCTTCTACACATCGCTTTCAGGTTGCTTTGTCGGGATATTTTTTAAAGAAGACGCAGTAACGCGCGCGCCAAACAAAAACAACAACAAACAATGTGCGAAAAGAAAGTAAATGGACATTCGTGCATGTAAGGAATGCAAGATGCGATTCCAAACGGTAGGATCAGATCCTACGCCTTGGGATCAGATCCCACGAGCGGGGATCAGATCCCACGCGCGGGATCAGGTTAGCAAAATGAGATCAGCGGGGTCTGATCCTAAGACCCTGTGGGCGAGGCTCTGTCTCCCCGGCCTCGCACTGAGGCTGCGCCCCCCCCTGCCCCCCCCCCCCCCTCATTAAATTCAAGCTTCGCGCGGCCCGCTTAGCTTCGACCGGGGGAGGTGCGCTCTCGACCCGCGAACCAACATATGTTTTGCACACGTTAGTGTCTGGCCCTAACGGCGTCCAAGACGGCCCAAGAGGCCCTCCAG